ACGCACACTGCTTTTATAAGTTTTACACACTCATCAAATCCAACAATCTACGCCTGGTTTTGTTATTTTTACCAATTAGCCGACTTTACAACTTAAAAATTACCGCATTCTGAGGAACTATGATTAAGTTGTCATATATAAGCTGAGATTTTGTAAATTCTGATTTAATGTTACTACTTTGATAGAGCTTCTATTAGTGATATTAAATAGCGAAATGACATTAAATACAGTAATGTCGTTTTGTTTTTCATTCATTTGGGAAATACAAAAAGCGTTTACTATAATGCCAAAATCTCTTCAAACTGTTAAAAGTGAACTTGGTTTGGACATATATAACTGTAGTGTATAAATCGTAATCTTCAAAGTCAGTTAAAAGCACAGATAATATTTCAATTACAAACTTTAATGGTGAATTCTAACAGGTTAATACTCAGATTTTTGTACTGGTAAACAAAACTGACAAAGAAAACTAATTTACAGGATTTCATCATGAGCTGACATTGGTTAGAGAACCACTGGAAAACCTGGGAGTACTGGACAACTGCTGTTCCATCCTAGTTTGTGACTCTTCGTCAGTACGCACCCACACTGAGGCGTTTGAACCCAGGACCTTCTGGTTACAAGGCGAGCTCGTATAACATTCAGCCACTGGTCCTGGGTTCGAGCCCTGGTTGGTGCATACTGATAAAGAGTTCCAAACTGGTGTGACAAAACAGCTGTTCAGTACTGCCTGCAGGTTTTCCAGTAGTTCTGTAACTAATGTCAGCTCATGATGAAATCCTGTAACCATTCAAATCCCTACAAACCAACACTGAAATAGCTAATTTAATCTAGCAGGTCGTAATTTCAGAAGTTGCCAATTCTTTATGCATACCTTTGGGTATGTATGGTAATCATATACAGCCGGTCGACCTCTCCATCTAAATATCTCAGCGATAGATTCTCTTATTGCACCGCTAGGAGACTTTGGCTTCACTCTCAGAAGAGGCGTGACTTCCTTCGAGGTTGTAGAAACAACCCTCTCTGGAAAGTGGTAATAAACAAATAAACCTACATCAATGAAATCGTGTTGATTATGTCCAATAGTTTTATATTGATCAAAATTGTGCCACGATTTCAGCAGCAGTTACCACCTAATCACCAGTCTCATATACCTTAGTGATAAAAGTTGTTTTTTATTCTACATACATATATTGTATTGGGCTTTATTTTACAAAAACATGTAGGTAATTAAAATCGTATTAGTAAGAAAAATAGACAAGAAGGTTGGATGAAAAACGTAATCGGAGGATAGTAATGTTTCTCTCGACAAAATAGACTGATTATAATTGCTACGGTAAATACAAAGATTGGATGTACTCCTTTTGAACGCAAAGTGTTAGTCTGAATTTTCGGATCGATAAATGTTTCACCTATGCTCAGATGTCTTGATTTCACTCTCTTTGACAGGCTCGATCAGATCTTCTATAGGACTTTAACGAACTTTTCAAATAAGGACGAATGTGCCGCTAAGTTTAGAAGGTGTTCAATCGTCAAACTATAGACATACCTCCATTATCTCTCTACTAGCTAAGCTAGACAGTGTTCCTAAGTATGTTTTTAAAGCGGACGCATAACACAGCCGATTTATTAGATCTACAAGGAAATTTAATTGGTGGTATACGTATGTTAATGTGCACAAAAGCGACAGTTTGTCTTTCATGTGCATACCAACTGACCCTTACAAGAAAACATTGTTCTTAAGCTGGCAGCAAAGAATCTCTTACTGGGATATTTTTGAGCAACCATCTTGATAGAATTTATACCAGATTATCACTTGCATAATTAAGATTCAGGTGCAAAACAGTTTTGTGGGTGACCTGGACCTATTCATTAGCTTTCTGTGTATTCAGATTCTTGTCTATGAATCTGGGTAGGAAATCATTTTTCATGGAGATTCTTCGGAGGATTCACAACCCTTCATTAAAGGATTGCTTTGTACGTGTACTCTGTTATGTGTAATTACGTAGTAGGTTGTAGAGTGATACACGTTTATTATTGTGAATAATAAAAGAAATCAACCGGCAGGTCTTAAATTTCCTAACAGAGTTATTTAAGAGCTGAAATCACAACCTGACTGCTTGGACTTCGTTGTTTCAAGCAGACCTTCAAAATCAATGTATCCATTGTTAAAATTCAAGAGCCTAAACGGGAGATACTCAGCTGGATGCAGTAAAAAAAATATTTTTTATTAAATAATAATAAATGACAACTATATTTTAGACAAAGAGTTTACAAGATATTCAGTATTCCCAGCCGCACAATATTTCTGTTTTCGTCAAGAATCTCCAGGTTAATTAATGATTGATACTATATTGCACGACTCAGTACTGTTCTATATGAAGCACAAAACCAATCCAATGGAATGGACTTCATTTGCCACTGAGAAATGCATACAAATCGGTTGAAAGCCGATTAAAAAGGTGCGCGTGAGTACATTTTGCAGTTCAGTAACATAAGCGAATGATGAGAACCATATGAAATAGAGAAAGTCTGCTGCACTCTATTGGAAGCTCAGGTAGCTCCGTGATTCAAGCACACCGCCAAAGAGATTAACACTGTTTGTTTTATTAAATAAGTAGGATTTAACATAGAAGTGTATCCTATCATAGTGGTCAAACTCTTCGCTGCTTCTACTAAAACTACCAGCTATTTGGTTTCCGTAATTTAAATATAAATGAATTGAATTGTAATCAATGATATAATGATGTTCCTTATTAAGAAACTTTATGTTGATAAAGACTAACAGTGTTATACGATAATATTTACTGATAACTTGATGGTTTGATCATGAGCTCTTAATCGTGCAGCTAACACAATCATGAGATATTACTGTATAACACTGTGAGATTTTCCATTTTGGGTAAGGAAAGCGTATTTTGATAAAGTCTCATAGTGTTATACAATAATATTTATTGATGACCACGTTTTGAGCACAACTTATTACTGCTCATAATCATATCAAGGCACTACTCACACAACCTTATAACTTCATTTATATAATTACATTATTCTCCATCGCTTGATTTGATTCGTAGTAGTAGTATTTCCCATATTTTTGGTATTTGTGATGAGTCATTCCTATTGCACGTGTCGGGTGTAGACTCGATGAACATGGATTCAGAAATCAATCCTTATCTCTCTCCACTTACCTATATTACTTTTTAGAATTTTAACCCTCTCTCACCACCCTGTGGTTGTGTGTTAATGTGTGAAGTGCAATTGCTGAGCTTTTTCCTAAATTACTAATCTTCTCGAGGTCAGTCATTCTTACCTTAGCTAAATTCTTATGTTCCGACAATCTGACTATCCGCGATCTACTAGTTTGACATATGTAGTTTACTTCACTCACAGTCATTGCAAGGTATTTTGTAAATTATGTTATTTTGTCTAATTGGATCCACCGGGTCTTTTAGCCTACACAGCTTGTCTCTGAGTGAGTTTGTAGGTTTGAATGCCACCCTAATTCCTGCTTTATTTAGAATCCTACGTAGGGTTATACCATATAAGGAGGGGACATCTGAGACCAACCTACGTAGGATTCTCAATAAAACAGGAATTAGAGTGGAATTTAAACCCACAAACTCACTCAGGTAGGACAAACTCTGTAGGTTAAAGAACCCTACTGGTTGACCCAATTAAACAAAATAACATAATTTACAAAATACCTTGCAATGACTGTGAGTGAAGTTAACTACATATGTTAAACTAGTAGATCGCGGATAGTCAGATTGTCGGAACATAAGAATTTAGCTAAGGTAAGAATGACTGACCTCGAGAAGATTAGTAATTTAGGAAAAAGCTCAGCAATTGCACTTCACACATTAACACACAACCACAGGGTGGTGAGAGAGGGTTAAAATTCTAAAAAGTAATATAGGTAAGTGGAGAGAGATAAGGATTGATTTCTGAATCCATGTTCAGTGAGTCTGCACCCGACACGTGCAATAGGAATGACTCATCACAAATACCAAAAATATGGAAAATACTACTACTGTGGTGAAAGCAGGCTGCTAGCCGATTGGTAGACATTAATCTACCTCAATGTCTAGGTCACTAATGTTGGCCGTGAGAAAATATGAACAATGCTGGTTCAACAACCAATCACAGCAAACTTAAACATGGGCAAATATGATTCGCAGATAGATGACTCCACTTTCCGAGAAACTCGAAAACAACCAATCAGAAGACTGCGTTTGTCTACTTGAATAAGCTATAATAATGTACATGAAATACATATAAATACGTGCTGATTTCCGTAATAAAATGATCTGTTACCGGCCCTTGTCTTCTGTTGTTACACTACTACTAATCAAATCAAGCTGTGGAAAATAATGGAATTATATCAACGAAGTTAAAAAGTTATGTGAGTAGTGCCTTGATATGACTATGAGCAGTAATAAATTGTGCTTGAAACGTTGTCATCAATAAATATTATTGTATAACACTGTGAAACTTTATCAAAATAAGTAAATTTTACGCATAATGGAATTATGCTCTATTACAGTGCATAATTTTGATTCTTATATCACTGTGAGACTTTGTTCATCGGTTGCACAGAGGGAGATTGCTCACTAACCATTGAGGTTGTCCGGAGTTTGATCCCTGGCCAACCCACACTCCTAAACTCCTCCCAATTAATAAAAAGCTTCGCAAAGAGGGAAGGTTGGGCGTGAGACTATTAATCCCACCCCTCTAAAATGGAACAACTGCTACCGAAACTTCAACCCTCTGGCTTAAAGTCCTATGCTGCAACGAGAACCCAAAAGAATGAAACAAAATAAATCAATAAATGTGAGACTTTATCAAAATACTCTCTCCTCATAACGGAATTTCTATTCCTATAAAACCTTGTCAACAGTTATACGATTTCCTCACCATGTAATTTTAAATCGCTGAATATTACTTTCTTTATGTTTGTTTTCTTTTTTGCTTTGTGAATATATACTACTCACTTACAGCCTACTTAAAACTGTATCAGCTGGAATCGATTATCGGTGTTACAAAAAATAGTAATGAACAATTGAATTTATTTGAATATCAAATTAATCAGTCAATAGAAAGTGTAAAACAACTGAGTGATCGACATGTTGATAAGCTGTTGTCAGCAATGAGTAAATATCTTTTAGCCAAATTAAGGTATGTATTATTTGTAGTTGTTAGTTGTCATAATTGTGTTGATAATTAAGTTTCATTTACTGGGTGATTTCATTGCTGTACACAGGTGCCAATTAAAGCATTACTGGTCCATATAACTGGTTAGGCTAAAACTACTCAGCTCAATCAAGCAGTAGTATATAGATTTTTTTGATTTTTTGATTTCAGCTTGATTTCATACCGTAGTTTTTGGTACAGGTATGGAATTTTCAGCATGTGATATCGGTAGCCCGAATTTTGCAGGCCGGCCGTAGATGTCAGGTGTTCGTTGGCAGGGGATCGAACCCATGGTCGGCGAGAATCCTAACCACTGTGCCACCGACGCACATCTGTCAGCATTGAATACTGCCATTAAAATATTAAGCAAACGACACAAGCAACGAAGACGAGTTGTCCTCAAAGGAAAACTAGCTAAGATATGCAAACAACCATCTGAAGAAACTCTAAGTTATTGCGTAGTAAATCTATCGAAATAACCATTATCGAAAACAGAAGGAAAACTTCTTCAGAAAGGACTCAACTACAATACTAGTAACGCTTCAGTAACAGATTTCTGTGCTTCCTTAGAATCATTTCTCAAATTATCAAAATTAAGTGAGGAAATACAACAAGAAATACGTCATACCTATACTCAAATAGAAAAGACATAATTCCCAACTTAGCACTGAAAAGCAAAATACATTGAAGAAACTGAAGAATAGAAAAGAGATATAGTTATTCTACCGGCTGATAAAGGAAGAACTACAGTAATTTTGGACACAGAAGACTGCATTAAGAAAGCAGAGGATTTACTTAAAGATAATAATGTATATCAATAATTGACAAAAAACCCTAAACAAACATTGGATAACAAAATCAGAACAACGTTAAATAAACTAACGAAATCAGGACAAAAAAGAAGATCAATGGTGAATGAAATCTAACGGACCTATTTTATTTCGATTCTATGGTAGACCAAAACTACACAAACCAAACATCCCCTTACGATCAATCGTTTCGCTACCAGGAACTAAAGAACTTTTCAGGAAATTAAGTTACCTAACAGAAACATGCAACCATTTTATCAATTCATCAATCCAATTTCTAGAGAAAATCAAAAACATTCAAGTAGAAGAAAATGAATTAATAGTGTCCTTTGATGTCACAGCATTATGTACTTCAATTAGTCCAAAACTAGCAACAGAAACTATGCAATAATTACTATATAGTGATGAAGACATAAGAACGCAATGATGTTCAACTTGGATAGAACTCATAAAATTATGCCTTATAACATACTTCCGATTCAATAGTCAAATATATGAACAGATAGAAGGAACACCAATGGAATCGCCCATATCAGGATTAATAGCTGAAGCCGTTATGCAAAGATCAGAATTAATAACTCTATTTATAATTAAACCGAAAATTTGGCTACGTTAAGTTGATGATACACTTGTAATAATTAAGAGAAATGATTTAGAATATACCCACAAATTAATAAACAACATATTTGAAGACATCAAATTCACAAGAGAAGAAGAATTAGATAACAAAGTCCCATTTTTAGATGTCTTAATCAAGAGAACCAACACAGGAAATTTAGAAACACACAAGTGTACAGAAAATCAACGCACACATATCAAATACTCAACTATACTAGCAACAGTCCAATTAATCACAAAACAAACTGTGTGCAGACATTGTTTAGAAGAGTTCAAACACACTGTAGCCTTCCAGAGATGAAAAAATGGAAGAAAAATACTTACTAACAGTCTTGAAAAGGAATGATTATCCCCTCCACAATTTCATCAGAAGTGTTTCAATTCGAATCACAACACCAACAAGGAACCATGATCAAAGACCACACGAAAATTCATCCTAACATGTATAAGCGAAAATATCTATGAAATAACAGCTACTACTTACTACCACAGTGCCCAAGTTTTACACATATATTAATATAACAGTTAGAATTTTGAAACCGCTTGAAGTAGACATAGCAGAAAAGGCAGTCAAATCACTTCATGCATGGATATTGTGCAATCCAAAAGATTCAACTGAAAAAGGAGATAAAATTAATACCATTTACACAATAAGTTGTGTGAACTGTAACGGACATTACATCGGCCAAAGTCAGCCTCCCCTTCGAATCAGAATCCAGGAACACAAATCAGCTGTGAAAATACATGATATATATTTATTTTTCTAATTTATTTTATTTTTGATTACAGCTTGATTCCGCAGTGTATTTTTGGTACAAGTATGGAATTTTCAGCATGGATATCGGTAGCCGAAATTTCGCAGGCCAACCATAGATATCAGGTGTGCGTCGGCAGGGGATCGAACCTCGGACCATGTGCATGGTCGGCGAGAGTCCTAATCACTGTGCCACCGACGCACAGAATATTTATGCTTCATATCAATGCATATAGATAATTATGGACATCAGTTCGATCGGGATAATGTCGACATTTTAGACAGAGGAAACACTAAAAGTGCAGTCAGGGAATTCCTAGAAGCGTGGTACTCAAGCGAATCAGCCAGCGATTAACAAACGCGTTAATATAGACGAGATATACAACCTAGTAAAAGGTAAATCATGTGACGAGAAAGTTTAAAATCCAAGTCAATAGAAAGTGGTCAATACATATATAAAGATGGTTATCGGGAGACGCAATTCTATCACTCATGAAGAAATTTCAATCAGTTCATTTTATGCTAAATATTGCGCTGAAGTGGGATGTTGTCCAGCAGGGGGTGGGGACAACGAAAGCTCCGCAACTAAAGCGACCAGCTCAGAGAACACTATTAATTGAAAACTGTCCACCTGAGCTACAGATCTTCTCTTTTATTACTTCACTTATGCTTGTTTTCTCGGTTATCATTTATTGTATCAAGTAGGTCACATACTGTGATTTAAATAATTTTGGTTTCAGCAAAACAATCTATGGTAAGTCTTCACCTCTTCGAACTGTGGAAATATATAAATTGCGAATGTGATCTATGGAATTACCAGTTTATCCAAGCAGGTATCCAAAAATAGAATGGCTTCAACTGATGTAACTCTCTGAGTTGAGTCAAATTGTATACACCCTTGACGAAACTTTACCTCAGACAAGTGGAAACGCCGTCTGGTATTTAGATCCTTTCGATCTGGTTGATGTGTGTAGTATACAACTGGCAATTTTAGTCATTTTATTTGTATATGGTTTTATACTTCAACACCTTGTTATCTCCGGACATCGAGCACTCTCTCAAGAATGCTTCACAGTACTACACAGAGTCCCTCAATATCGTCCAAAGGGACTTCGCATACGCCATCTTTGCATAGCTAAAACATTAGCTATTCGAGATCTGAAACCGGACATCTGTATTGAAAAGGAATGCATACATTCTCTTGCCGTATCGTTGCCAGAGTAAAATTCTTACTATAATTTTGCTTCTTCCTTTTTTTATTATCTCATGTAAATGAGTCATCGAAAGGAAAATTTCCTTCGCCGTTTTCCGCATTTTTCTTATGTCTGAATACGGGAATATTTCTGAATTGAATTCTTGATTTTCCCGTCGATTGATTGGACCGAAGTGCTCGGTCTCATGCATTGTATACTAACTAAATGCCCAGACATCGTCGAAGCATCTGCACAAGAAGCCGACATGTCAACCTGAGACCGAGCACTTCGGTCCAATCAATCGACGGGACAATCAAGAATTCAATTCAATAATTAATATGACCTGTTGCACAAGAGGTGGCTCTCGTGGCCCAAGTGGTCTAGTGGATAACGCTTTGGCGTTTGAAACTATGGGTACTGGGTTCGAGCCTCAGTGGGAACATCATCACTCACTGAGAAGTGCAGTTACATCCAGCTGACGAGTCCCAAATAGGACGAAATGCGCATCCTGAATTCCACTGCTAGCCACCATCCACCAATTGTATACGGGAATATTTCATTCATTGAAGAGTTCCTCAAGATTAGGCTTTACTCTTGTTTCTTCTCATTACCCGGATTTATGACGTAAACACTAACGTAAATTGCTGCCTACCAATTTTGGCTAGCAGACAGCTCGCACTCACCACACAATAACTATTTAAACAAGTAACATAATGTTAACCTTCACACATTGTCAAAGTATCTGCACTAAGAGCTGACATATTTACGGTTATGCTGAATAGTTATTTACTTTATTATTATTATTGTTGTTCCCTTGGGTTCCTAGCGGAACATAGGGCTTCAACTGCACGTCTCCACTTACCACTTCTGTCTTCTGCTCTACTTTTCACCTGCATCCATGTTAGTCCATGGTGTTCCAACTCCTCTTAACACCATCTCCTCCATGACACACTTGCACTGACGTCCCACTCGCCGCTTCCCATTCTGTCAGGTTCCACTCGAGGAATGATCTGACGCGCGCGCAATGTCACCCAACCGTCCCCTCAGCGAGTGTCCAATCCATCTCCATCCACTTTCTCCTGCATATTTGTTGGTTGGCGATTTGTTTTGCCCCTGTTTTGTTTGTTAGTGTCCATAGTTTCTTGGTGGTGATTCTCTCCGGCCCGGCCCGGCCATCTGATCTTCAGTATAGATCCAGCGAAGACAGTTGTTGTTGATAAAGGTCTGGTCTGCAATAGACTGTTGGAAATATTCTTTGTGACCCGCTCTACAAGTTTCTGATACCTTCCGTATAGAGGAAATGACTGACTTGATGTTTGTATTGGAAATCCGACTGGATTTTGTTGTTGATGCTGGCTGAGTGACTAAGATTTTCAGATTGGTTTCAGGTTGACGAATGTGTTTCTCTCCTTCCCGATTCTCGATTTGACATCCTCGTCCGCTCCTCCTCCTCGTGTAGTTGAGACAATGCTCCCTAGATAAATGAATGAATGAGGTAACCTCTTTCAAATCCCTTCCGTTGATGGTGATTGGCGCTGGATGTTGCTGCTCTTGTTGTTGTTGGATGGTTATTTTCATTACCTCCGTCTTGTCTATGTTCACCTGGAGTCCTGTCTTCGCCGGCTGCTTCTTCGACCAGTTTTTCGGTCGGTTTTCACTTGTACGTCTTCGATTTTATGTGACAATTTCATAGTTTGCTGTATATATTATCCTGTGTTATTTATCTTCTTCTTTTTTTTCTGCTTCTATCTTTTGTAATTCTTAACAGGCTTATACAAATGAAAATGAATGAATACGAATTTCTACTGAAACAAGCTATAAGTGAATGTATCTCCGATTAGGGAGAACATCACCCACACTTAGCTGAATGGTTAATGCTCTTAGCGCTGTCATTACAGAATTCAGTTGATGAAAATGAATCCAAAGAAGCAAAGTATGTTGGTTTGGAAATGACTGAAACAGATTGAGGGAGGGAGAGAGTCAGGCTGACTGTTTGTTTTTTTTGTTTGTTGTTTTGTCAGTTGCTTTAAAATAGTTGCGTAAGGTTAACTGAAAGGACTTTTTTTTAAGTTTTATAAACTGAATAATAATAAACTTGAACAAAGCAAGAACAGCAATTGTACCAGGATAATATGAGCTCATCTTTTATTATTTCGAAGATTCTTCTCAAGTGGTTACAGCCTGAATGATAAAAATAAAATATGAATTGCATCGAAGATTTGAACATACTTTTCCACGATCACAAGGGGTAATTGGTAGGAATTAAAAGTAACATTAGTCCGAAGTGATTCAACCGATTAGGAGTTACAAACACTGACTATTTATAGAATAATTAGACAATTAGGCTCGGAAACAAAAAATAGGGTTGTGTATATATGTGTGTGTATAGAAACAAGGTTTAGCTAGAAAGAGCATAACAAAAAAGTGGATTACGCAACTGAAGAAAACTTCTTATCTAATAGCCAATAGAAAAATGGAAAGAAAAGAAACAAGGTAGGGTGAGTCATGTTTTAGATGAGAGAGTAGAGTTTCCTAAACATGAAAAAGGTGACTTACGAAAGTTGTATATTTTTGAATCTTGCATTGTTCTGGTGATAAAAAAAGATTCCACTTAAGAGATGGCCTGGCACAATATGTCAACCAACGGTCTCCAACAGTGTATTCGATCAATCTCCATCTTCTTCGGAATATGTGTTGGGCGATAAGTTGGTTAGTTTCTTGAGTTCCTTGTTGCTAATTTTTCCTGGCTGGCTGGCCACCTGATCATCAGTATCAAGCAAGCGAATGAAACTCTTGGTGAAATTCTATGGTAACCTATTTTAGCAAATACTTTCAGTGATGTGTAGAGTCTTTTTGACCCAATGTCAAACACATGACTAAACATTCGTGTTGGAAATCTGAATTTCGTTCCTTCGTTTTGAATGCAGAAGATTTCCTCACTAATTTCAGATTCATTTACACTTGTCTTTCCTTCCCGTTCCGCCTGTAGTTGCGAGGAAGCTGCTTATCTCCCATTTGTTGTTGTTGCTTTTTTTCTTGTCTTTTTATTCCTGTACATTCCCAGTAGAACATAGAGATTCTAGCTAGAGGCTCAAAGTTTTGGCAGAAGTGGTGTTTAATTTAACGAAGTTGGGGCTGCTAGCCTCATGCCCAACCTCCCTACTGTATCAGTCTTATTAATGGGTTAGCGAGGTAAAGGAGTGCGTCTGCGGCCGGGGATCGAATTCTAGACCATATGAGTGGTTTGGCGAGCATTCTACTGCTGTGCAACCTCTGTCTTCTCCTTCTTCAATTGAAATCTTGTCTCTGCTGCGTGCTTCTTCTGGCATTTTGAAAGAAAAAGAAAGAAAGAAAAAGCGTGAACCAAAACTTTAAAATTGATCCATAGTTTACGATAAGTTTGAAAATACAGAAATGAAAAGAATAACTTCAGTAAATCCTAGTGGATTCATTTTCGATACGATTCTCATGACAGAATAAAATGCCTATTATTTTCAACAAAAAAAAATAAAAACGCCCACTCTCTGTTGTTCCTCTCTACCCCCCCCCCCGGCTTGAAATCCATAAAAATTAGAAATGTGGTTAAATTTTTTGTTTAAAATGACTTTTCAGGCTTCAATTTAAATTCTGTTTGTACAATTTCGTAAGCGAGAATTACTCTACTACCTGAATTGGTAGAAGTTAGAATTCATGGGCCATTGGTTCGGGTCCTAGTGGCTGAATGGTGTACGAGCTCGCTTTGTAACCGTAAGGTCCTGAGCGCGAACCCCGGTGGGTGCATACTGATGAAGAGTCCCAAACTGGGACGAAATAACTGTCCAGTACTCCTCGAAGGTTTTCCAATGGTTCTCTAACCAATGTCAGCTCATGATGAGAATCCTGTAACCAATCAACCGAATCTCTACAAACCAACACTTAAATACCTGAACATCCGTTTGTTTGACAGTGCTGTTTTTCATTATCCTCGGTATCACAAATCACTCCACTTTTTCATTTTTGTTATTAATAGAATTATTGATCCTATTATTATGAATTATTTATAAATCATGATAATTGATTAATTTTAAATATTTATTGTTATTTAAGGTTATACATATATATGAGAGTTAAGGCTGACGGGATGCAATTGAAATAATATTTTCAAGAGTCACTTTGTGCGGATTTGATATGTTTCAAGCTTGACCGTTTATTTACATGTGAGAGGACCATTCAAAACCAGGGAGTACTGATCAGCTATTTCTTCCTAGTTTAGAGCTCATCGACATTACGCAGAATTCATAGGCCACTGACTAGGATCCTAGTGACTGAATGATCTACGAGCTTGCTATGTAACCGAATGGTCCTGAGTTCCATTCCTTGATGGGTGCCTGGAGCTGATAAGCTCTAAACTGGGATGAAACAACTGACCTTGTGTTAGTCTAAATTATTTGAAAGGTAATTTGCAGCATTTATTCCAAATCTTTCACAAGGATAACATTTTTGTTAACTTCTGTGTCATATGCCTGTGTTTCGACTAATGGAAATTTTTTCTTGACTTTCAAAAAATCAAGTTTTCTTAGAATTACATTTGGAAGAAGACGCGCCCAGGCGTGTCTTCGATGGGCGCTTGACATAATGACTTACAATCAAGAAATTCGTATACAACCAGCTATTCATCCACCGATGTCAATACTTTCAAATCCTAAAAAATCAATCTATCTACAATTACACAGAAATGTATTAATACGTCTACCACGATATCTGATTACACCACAGATAAATTTAATTTCATCAGTGTCACCGTCAATAAAGTTATCCTCAGCATCATTAATAAGTAGTATATCGAAAACACTGAAAAGTAATGATACTTTTAAACGGAAATTAAATCAATCAAGCGAATTTTTAGTGAACAATAGTTTGTCGATTAACAACACTGCCTATCTTAATACCGATATATATCAAACACTTCCAGCAGAAATATGCTTACATTTAGCTGTGTGTTTGTTAAACGAAAGACGTCATATTGGCCTACAAGAAGCGACTACACGTGCTGCGTATGTTTTGCATGAAAGAATATTGTTTCTGGGTAGGTGTAAAAAGGTATTATGTTCTCAAGTGTGTGTTTTAATTTTTTAGTTAAATATAAGAATTTTTATTAATACTATTGCTTTATTGTTTCATTCCTAAGGCTCGCTTAGTGGAACATAGAGCATCGAGCTTGATGTTTATAATTTCAGGAGCAGTGGTATTTCCTATCACGCGGGGTCGGCTCGCTAGTCTCAACCTCAACCTTTTCCACTTTAACGGTCTTACCACCGGTTAAGCGAGATTGAGAAATGCATCAGCCAGGAAATGAGCCCTAGGCCACGTGAAGTATGGTTGGCGAGTGTCCTACGATTGTGCCACCGACGCAATAACTGTTATTATCAATTATTCTAGTGTCAGTTGGTTAGAGGCAGTTTCTAGGACGCCTGAAATGCGAACTTGAGTTACTTAATGATGCAGTCAGAGATCCTACCATTGATTTATTTAGAATTACTTTTGTTCTCCTATAGGACTGTTGTAGATATATATGTATATCGATTGATCAGAAGACAGTAACAGGTGTCTTGCTTTTGGTAGAATTTAGTGATTGTCAACACAATAGGCTAAAAGAATGATATTTGCAGCTCGCTGTAGACCAATGACTGTAATATTCCGATTTACAAAACATATGTGATGGTGGATCTAATCTATGTACTCAGCCACGGATACTCACTCACCAGTTAGAGATATTGCCTGGAAGAGAAAGCTTTGGCTTAAATTCCTTCTTTTTCTAATTGTTATTTTTGTATTAGATAACAAACAACAAAATATAATTGAATTTTTTTTCTACAGATTTTCCCGTCGATTGATTCGACTGAAGTGCTCGATCTCAGGTTCACATGTCGGCTTCTTGCACAGATACTTCGACGGTGTCTGGGCATTTAATTAGAATTTAATTGGTGGATGGTGGGTGACTAGCAGTGGAATCCAGGATAACGTGCATTTCGTCAGATTTGGGACTCGTCAGCCAGTGGATGTACATGCATTCCCCAGTGAGCGATGATGATGATGTTCCCACCGAGGCTCGAACCCACTACCCATAGTTTCAAACGCCAAAGCGTTATCCACTAGACCACTTGGGCAACGAGAGCCACCTCTTGTGCAACAGGTCATATTAATTATTTAATTGAATTGGTCTAGTGGATAACACTTTGGCGTTTGAAACCACGGGCAACAGGTTTGAGCTTCGGTGAGAACATCATCACTCACTGAGGAATGAAGGTACATCCAGATGAAGAGTCTCAAATGGGACGAAATGCTCGTTGTCCTGGATTCCACTGCTAGTCACCATCCACAAATTAAAGGACAACATCCTCTAGATAAAAGTATTTTCTTAATTCTATATACTGAACTTTTCTAATGCTTTACTTGTGAGGATTTTCATTATTTCCAAGACGAATTTGACCAAGGACTGAAATCGATAAGGACGTCTCTGAAATTAAATGTGCATCCATCAGCTGATTCGTCCTAGCTTTAGGCTCTTCATCACCACTAAAGACTGAACTTATGTTCTCAAGGTTAAATGTCAAGTAAGATATCATTTAGCCAATTGATGACAATGCTATTACCCATGAGCTCTGACTTTTAACCTACAAATAGGATGTGTACTTCGTAAGATGATGGAGTTAGGCTAAAAGATGTATTTTTATAATGCCTGATGAACACTTAATGCTCTTATGGTATTGTTTGTCTGAACCTCATGGTATTTTAAATGTGGTCTATTTAATAAAATGTCTACAGGTGCACATAACATTTAACTTCAATTACAGAAAACTGTGTTAATGGAAGCATCGGTGGTTGAGTAGTGGAATGCTTACCTACTAGTTTGACCTATGTAGTTGACCTTACTCACAGTCATTGCAAGATATCTCGTAAATTACATTATTTTGTCTAATTGGGTCAACAGGGTCCTTTAACCTACATAACTTGTCCTTGAGCGAGTTTGTAGGTTTGAATGCCACCCTAATTCCTGCTTTATTAAGAATCCTACGTAGGGTGTAAGATGTCCCCTCCTTAAGTCATCCAGTTTTATACCATATAAGGAGCAATAGCTTCTGTTCGAAACGTCATCAGTTAATATTACTGTACAACACTGTGTGATTTATCAAAATAAAATCTTATCCATAATTGAGGATATGGAGATATCTCCAAATAGCTCCCCATTGTCAGGTGATAGCTGGACAAATACTCGACTGATATGAAAACCTCCCCGAGGAGGTCTGCTTTAAGGAGTTCGTCTCCATATTTTTTATTTTTTGGACTCCAGGGACGGCAAGATGAAATAAACTGCAATAGACTCAGGTTATGCTGTTCAGAATTCAGAAAAGTCTACTTTTTTATCGACTGGTCGACACCATTCGAGCTTCTACAGGCAATCCTCTGGAACAGCTACCTTGCTGATCATTGCGTCTGGAGAGCAAACTCTCACCATTCATTGATGCCATTACCTTTGGATGAATCTACGGTTATCCACAAGATTTCGTTTCCTCTTCATATGCTGATGTTCTCCGTGTTACCTGCAGACTCATTCCCAAAATTGGTCGACTCCCAAACAGGTTCCGTCCAATAGCTGGGCATGGGATGTCACTTGAATGCCTACTATAGTATAAGTCCAATATTCACCTGCATTTCAGCCTGAACGTTTGTTGAATAGTAGGTTGTTAGTTGGTCTGCTGCTAAATTTCCCCGTTGTTTAACCTTTCGGCTAATCTGATATTTAACCTAAGGTCGCAGATTATTTCATCTCTTCACTTTTAAATCAACTTATGTTTATCATTTCGGTTATTATTATTATAATTGTATCCTTTAATTCCTAAAGAAACATAGGGCCTCAGTCGCGCGTCTCAAATGCGTTCACCTCTCTGCTAGAGTTTTCATCTGACTCCACGTCTGCCCACATGCTTCCATCTCCTCTTCGCATGACCTCCTCCAAGTCTTGTTTCTCCTGAATCCAGCTTGTTCCAGTCGAAGTTTTTCATCCAGGTTGGCTTGTTTGATTCTCTCCAGGATGATGTGGCTTAGTGGCATAATTCCGCGCTAGTTTTCGCATTGATTTAAGTCTCCTTTCTTTGGTAGTTTGAATAAGTATCCTTTCTTCCAATCCTCGGGTACTTTTCCCTCTTTCCACACCTTATCCGGTAGTGGTGTCACCAAGTCCGTTGTTGTCTCTAGGTCCATTTTCAATGCTTCTGCTGGGATTCCATCCAGTCCTGCTGCTTTTCCAGCTTTGAGCATCTTGATTGCATTCCAGATTTCTGATTTCATCGAGGGGTCAATGTTCACTGGTAGTTCTGCTTCCGTTGTTGGTATTGTTGGGCGCGTTGTAGGTGGTGGTCGATTTAGAAGTCTTTTGAAGTGTTCAGCCCAGGGCTTTCTCTGTTCCACCTCTTTGGTGATTGACTTTCCATTGTCATCCTTCACTGGCTTAATCTGTGTCGAACTTTTGACCGAAAGGTGCCTAGTTGTTTGGTAGAGTGTGGCGAGGTCTCCTTTGCCTGCAGCTTGTTCTGCTTCGTTTGCCATGGTTTCATAATATTTTCTTTTGTCTTCCCTGGCACCCTTCTTCACTCTTTTGTTCAGTGTATTGTAGCTTGCATTCAGCTCCTGTTTTTGTTGCTCGTCGGTTAATGATAACTAATATCTGCTTTTATTTATATTTGTAATAACAGTAATAAGGTCTTCTTATTAAATTTGTATAAGGCATCGAACATCCGGCTACTATTCAAATATCTAGAATATTGGATCATATAGAACATTATCTTACTAAAGGTCAAATGATTACAAAAAGCACAAAAGATGAAAGTGAAACAAGTCAGTTGGAATCATCTTCTGTAAGGCTGAAACTTTCTACTGGTCGTGTATCACAAAATCTACTTCATTCCAATCGATCACCGACATCATCATCATACAGACAAATTTCATCTATACAGAAAATTTCAAATAAATTTGCTAAATTCCCTTCAAGTACTTCTTTACTCAGTGAGAAATCGTCAAGATTACTTTCTTCAATGTCAGGTTAGTAAGAATTGTTATTATTATTAATATTTGTTTATTGTGTACTACTTCTTGATCTATTTAATCTGAACCAAAATGCTTGATCTCTCTTCCCATCTGTCAACTCTTACTCCAGAAGCTACGATAATGTCTGAAGGTGGATATGATGTCATGTCATTTGGTTGACAGTCACTATCGATGGAACCTAGGAAATATATTTACTCCTATTTCAGATTCTTCATCTACGTGTTTTCACCCCCTAATCAGTGATACTATTCCCACTGGGACTCGAACTCAGAGTCCATAGTTTCAAATGCCTTAGCGTTATCTGTTGTCTGGCTGTCTATCTGTTTTCGATGTAAAAGTTTGCATCTCTATGCAGTAGTTCAAGTCGCCACACTCCCTCCTCGTAGCACACAAAGCAACAGAAGAAAGTAGGAGAAATGCATAATAGAGACAGTAAACAGAAGATTGAGACAAAAGGAATAGTAATAACTAAGGACAATATAGTTTCATTTGAAATCATCAGTCACAAGGAGTGGATGCATCTGCGTTAATCATTGAGAACGATTTTAAGCCATATCATCAATTGTTTCTAGTCATCGGTGTTTGCCGTCCCGAGGACCCCAACCAGTCAGCAAGTCTACATCTTCCTACTTGGCTGGTTAGCTCAAACTAACTGTTATGGATTTCATTGACTGATGAAGCTATATTTTGATTTGACCGCCGCTAGTTTCTTTCCAGCCTGACGCTGTGTCAGCTAACATTGCCCATTGTCGAGGAAGGCAATGACTCGGCATACGTAACACATATCCTAACCATCTCGGTCTATGTAATTTCACAGTCTCGTTGATTGATTTCCCCTCTTTACCTAGCACTCGACCAATGCCTCACCTCAAGATTGTTCACCTTATTATACCACTTCACACGGGAGATAGAACGCAGCCACCTATGATCAAAGACAGCCAGCTGGTCTTTTCATGTCTTCCACTCAGAATGGCCAGGTCTCGCAGCTAGGCATAAAGGAGGACGGAGTGAACTGCTGAGCAGTACACCCGCCCTTTGTTCAGTATCCGGATATCTGCTGTGATACTGGGCTACAACAACCATCTTATGTGAAGTCGGTATTATTGTTTACGTTACGTTGCATTTCCTCTTGAGCGATATATTTTCCACTCAAATGCCTTGTAATCGTGATTACGATGAGCGCCGCTAGGTAGTTTCATCAACCTTCTCACAATAAGTTTGGCCTGGTATATTATAAATATGTTCTTATAATGATAATATTTATATATTACTGTCTGTATCTTTAGCCAATGTTTCAGATCGTTGCACTTCAGAAGAGTATAGGGTAAAGAAATTGGATAAAGGGCAAAAAACACAAATATGGAGTATTTAGATGTGAAGCAATAACTCACTAAATGTGGTAGATCAAGTGGCAGTGTCTACTAAACTAAACAAATATCGTCTGTAGCTCTATATTTTGTCGTCTTTTTTATTTAGAGATGCAATGATGTTTAAAATGATGGATTCTTTGTTATAATCCAAGTAAAATATCCAAGTAAGAATCATTTATTGACCATGCAGACCAATCCAGTTAACAGGTCTCAAACAGGACGCAGAGAGCTTCCTAGATTACATTCCACAGTCACCACTGACCAAAAAAACATACTGTGTTTTATTTAAAAGGATGTTAATTTTACTTCACTTACTTATGACACCTTGACTCCAATAAAGTAAACTAGGAAAACTGGCTGACTTGTTTACATGATGAATGACATAATAATAGGATAATGATGTAACGGATAGTCTGTCTGGTCTGTCTGTCTGTCTGTCTGGATTCAACATAGAACTTGCCACCAAAGTGCACTAGTTCCAGTTGCCACGTTCCAAATAGCACACAAAGGTAGACAAGAAGATGAGTGAAGAAAATCAATAGAGTTTGACAAGTATAACAGTGAAACAAAATGGGTAGTGGTAGAAAGGAGTATGAAAGATTACCAAGACTGAATACATCTGCGCTGGCCATTGACAACTGACACCAGTCAGTTAGAGAACCGGTGAAAACCAAACAACGAGTATTGGACAGCTGCTTCATTCCAGCATGGAACTGGCCATCAAAACGCATCCACCGGAGTTCGAACCCTGAGCCTTTCTGTTACAAGGCAGGCCCTCAAACTATTCAGCCACTGGGGTGGTACCCCACTTAATGGCCCGTGAATTCCAACTTCTGCCAATGTGTAATTTTAGCGCGACCAGAAGCCAATGTCATCGTCTAGAGTTTGTCCCCACGCTAAATTAATCCCAATTAAGTAGTATACTGGCTAAAACACTAGCAAGACATACACATCACGTAATATTAAATTCGAAAGTTAGCTAAAAAGAATAAACTGTTTTTTCAAGACAGACACCAACTAGGCTGTATATATATATATAAATAAGTGGTGAGAAACTTCCAGAACTATCCCCGATCGAGGATCAGGCTATAACGAATATTATTATTATTGTTCCTTTGGGTTCCAAGTGGAATATAAAGCTTCAAAAACACATGCACGTCTCCACTTGCTTCTGTCTTCTGCTCTGCTTTTCACCTGCATACATGTTAGTCCATAGTCTTTCAACTCCTCTTCACACGATCTCCTCCACGTCACCCTTGCACTGACGTCCCACTCGCCGCGTGCTTTCCTTTCGGCCTGGTTCCACTCGAGCAATGGCATGACGCTCGCACGATGTCACCCAGCGCGATGACTCCTCAGCGAGTGTCCAATCCATCTCCATCCACTTTCTCCTGCGTATTTGTTGGTTGGCGATTTGTTTTGTTCCTGTTTTGTTTGTAAGTGCCCATAGTTTCTTGTTGGTGATTCTCTCCGGCCCGGCTCGGCCATCTGATCTTCAGTATAGATCCAGCAAAGACAGTTTTTATTGAAAAAGGTTTGGTCTGCAATAGCCTGTTTGAAATATTCTTTGTGACCCGCCCACCAGGTTTCTTATCCGTTCCGTATAGAAGAACTGACTATCTTGAAGTTTGTATTGAAAATCCGACTGGATTTTGTTGTTGATGCTGGCTGAGTGACTAAGATTTCCAGATTGGTTTCAGGTTGATGAATGTGTTTCTCGATTCTCGATTTGACATTCTCGTCCGTTCCTCCTGTAGTTGAGACAATGCTCCCTAGATAAGTGAATGAAGTTATGACGAATAACAAGACCACAAATAGATATTAAAGGCGCAATAATAATAACAACAACAACAAAAAAACATGGTTTTCAGATAAGGGATATTTTAGGATATTACGGCCATGGTAAAGACAAACATTGGACGTGATTATTATTTGGAATACAAAGCTTGAATTTTCAGATAGGTAATGTTTCACCTATGCCCAGATGTTTTGATCATATTCCCTTTAAGAGGTTTGATTGGATCTGGTAGAAGACTTTGAAGAATTTATCAAATGGGGATGAGTGTGGTGTCTGTCTGTCTGGATTCAACATAGAACTTGGCACCGAAGTGCACCAGTTCGAGTTGCCACGTTCCAATTGGCACACAAGGTAGACAAGAAGATGAGTGAAGAGAATCAATAGAGTTTCACAAGTATAAGAGTAAAGCAGAATGGGTAATTGTAGAAAGGAATATGAAAGATTACAGAGACTGAATACATCTGCGCCATTGACAACGATTTTGAGCCATGTCACCTATTGTCTCCAGCCATTGATTCCTAGAGTCCCGAGGGCCCCAACCCGGGAGTCTGCATCTCCCTACCTGACTCAGTTTAACTGTCAAGGATTTCATGGATTGATGCCATGTTTTTGTTTGGCCACCACTGGCTCTTTTCCAACCTTCACCTATGTCAGCTAGCAAAGCCCGTCGGGGAGGCGATGGTTAGGCATGCGCAGCACGTGACCTAGCCATCTTAGTCTATGTAACTTTATAGCGTCGTCGATTGATTTTCCTTCTTTGCCCAACACTCTACGCCTAACGTCAACATTACTTATCTTGTGAAACCACCTAACGTGAGACAGAGATCGCAGACATCTATGATCGAAAGCAGTCAACCTTTTTATGTCTTCCACGCGTATTGGCCATGTTTCAGAGCCATAGAGAAGGACGGAGCGAACTGATGAGCAGTACACACGTCCCTTGGTTGATAACCGGATGTCACGCCTACGCCAGAGATGGTGTAAGTCAGCGAAAGCAGCTCGAGCTTTTCGGATCCGTGCTGAGATTTCATCGCCAATCAGTCCGTTGGTGCTAATACAACTTCTCAAATAGGTGAAGTGGTCAACATGTTCTATCACTTCACTCCCTATCACTAAGGAGTTGACGTGGTCCAGTCCTGTAGCAGCATCTTACATTTTGCAGGGGCGAATCGCATGCCAAACATACGAAGATTGCTGCTCAAGGTGTTCAGAAGACTCTGCATTTTTTCAGAATCCTCCCCTAACAGGACTATGTCATCTGCATATTCTAAGTCCATTAGATTATTCCCTGGTAACAAGTCGATTCCTAAGTCATTACGTTCAGTGTGAGTGTGGTGAGTTCGCAATATGTTCTGTTAGGCGAGTATTTGTCCTCGCACCCGACCTGCTGCATCCTACTGGTCATGACTTCACACTGGAACCCCAGGTAACTGTCTATCTGAATAGGACAAGTCGCCAGTATGAAGACATTGGCTAGCGGTTGCGTTATGTCGTGAATCGGCAGAAGTTAGAATTCATAGACTGACCATTGGATCGGGTCCCAGTGGCTTAATGGTCTACGAGCTCGCCTTGTAACTGACAGGTCCTGGGTTCGAACCCTGTCTGCGGGTACGTACTGCTCAAGAGTCTCGAACTAGTGCGACGAAACAGATGTCCAGTACTCCCTGTCGGTTTTCCAATGGTTCTCTAAATGATGTCAGCTCATGTTGAAATCCTGTAACCAGTCAACCAATTCCCTACAAACCAATACTTGAACAGTCTGTCTGTCTGTTTTCGACATAGACATTTGCACAAATGTGCGGCAGTTCAAGTTGCCACACTCCGTG